CGACGAGCCAAGTGCCGGATGTGCAATCGTGCGGTAGTAGCTGCTCGGATCGCGAGCGCGGCAGCGGGAAGTTGCGTCAGCGTCGAGCGGAAGACACGGTTGTTGCGTTCGAGCCAGAGACAATACCAGACGCAAGCACGTAAGATTGGCCAGAGGGCACGAGCGGGCGACTTGTGGACCGAGTACGGCGCGGCGACATCTTCGTAGAGAAAGCCAGCGACCGACGACGGGAGTTGCATCTGCAGAATGTCGCGCATCGGTGCAAAAGCGCACCAGATCGCTCGGACGTATGGGCAGCGCACAAGAAGATGATCGTACGTTTCACGGGCTTGCGCATCGCAGAGAAGGCAGTGTCGGGCATCGCGGCCGAGGAAGTGCTCATCGCGTCATGGTGGAGCACCAATGCATGGCTATTAGGAGCATGGACGCCGGATCCAGCCAGCTTCGGTAAGATGGACCCTGACTCTGGCCGTGCATGAAAGTCTTGCAAGCCAATGACATTGCCGGTATCCACGGTAAAATGGATGATACCGTCGCCCCCACCGTGAGACTGGAGAGGTGACTGCAACTCCTGATTAGCTCGCCCCATCGAGGAAACGTGCCCGCCCGCACACATCCGTCATGACGCTGCGAGTACCCTCCATCACTTGGCACCTGGTCTATGCATATACATGTAACCATGTCTGAGGGTTTGGCTTCGTCCATGACGACGATAACGTTACGAGGAATATGTTGTGTTTGCTCTTTGCCGCCGAGTCGATACTGAGTCCCAAAGGGCTAACGACGCGTCATATCATGTAGCGGACGGCATGCCATATCGATCGAAATCATGCATAGTACAGTACGTCAACTCGATGCATCTGCATGCAGCGGCGATGCTTGCCCGCAGCAGCTCAGTAGGATTTTGGAACGCATGACGCCGTCTAATGGAACATGTGTACTAGCAGATAGCATTTCATTCGCCTTTCATACCTGCATCGAACATGGCTGCTACATCAAAAACGACGTCTTGATAGGCGCCAGCTGAGAAGCCGCGCAAAAGTGGATCGCTACTACATTCCAAACACTTCACACTTTGTTACGAATAGACTCTACATCATTGCGCAAGCCCGTTGATTGGGATACGACTCGTAGTGCATAGTTTTGTTTTCTATCTATTAATTGAATAAGGACTTTTTTGCGCGAAGCGCGGCACGAGCGCAGCGAGGGCACCCGGCGGTAGCCGGGCCCGTGCGCTAGCACGGCAACGTCATTAGAGCTCTAAATAATTTTGACGCGCGCAGCGCGTCGGGAAGGGTCGAATTCGGTTAAGTACGTCTGGACTCCCAATGTCTCTTTTGTTGACTTGGCATTTGTAGCAACGTTACAAGTGCGAAACTGTACTTAACGGAACCGCGCGCCACAAGCGAAGCGCGTGCACCTGGCGCAGCCGGGTCGTGCGCGGTAGCGCGGTAGGGTCGTATGCCGGCGCTTATATATGCCGTGTGCGCGCGTTGCGAGTGCCTTTGGCATTGATGCGCCAACCACGAGCGTAGCGCGAAGGCGCAGAGCAAAAGCTCCGGTCATGTTGGGACGCCAGTGTTGAGCGACCAGCGCGTGCGGGAGTCGCGGCAGCGCCAAGCTGCGAGCGCCGCGGGACCAGCGACTGCGATGGAAGGAACCAAGGAACTGCGATGATAATATGCTGCCGACGGCTTGGATGCATTGTCTATCGTGCTGCACTTTCTTGGAAATCGCGCGTGTACAACGGCATGCGACTGAGCGACGAAGTTATGGCACTGCCTCACGAGACAGGTAGAATTGCTGGGCCGGGTCGAGTACATAGCTGATTCGACGCCATTCGGTGCACTGTGGCGTAGCGGAGGTTGCACTGCAGTGTGGTTCCCGGCCAAAGGCAGGTGCGGTGCACGGCGCACCGCAGCGAAGCGGAGGTCGCGTTCGGCGCACGCGCCCATCGCACATTTGCCATGTGAATGCAGGTCTGCATTAGGCAGGGTGTGCTGAATGGTACACGAAACCAAACACCGATGATTGATGGCATCTACACAGTCCATGCTACGACACCGACGCACCGCTAGATTGCACGCTGCCCCGATACCAAACTTAAATCAAAAGGCTCCACTGCACCCTGCACAAACATTCTACACTAAATTTGATGGCGTCCACACTGTCCGAGCTACGACACGAACCCACCGCTAGATTGCACACTACCCCAATGCAAAACCTCGACCAAAGAGCAAAAAAGTCCTTATTCAATTGATAGATAGATGCGTTGACCAGCTACTTATCCGACGGCGCGCCTCTCACATTACATATCGGATCTATTGATTGTCAAGGGTTTTATCGGTTACAGCATTGCTCTTGGCGAGACACTGCATGCGCTTTGCGCGTTTTTCAGGCGAGGCATTAGCCATCGATGACACCACATACTCGACACGGTATCGACTCGACGGTCGAGGCGATACCTGTACCCGGACGACCTGGCCGCTACTTGGTGTAGCAAAACACTGTACTAGTACTCTACTCGAATGTCGGGATCGTTTCGCGAGATAGCAAGCGAACAAGCCATGTACGAATAATTATTCATGCCATTCATATACTAGAACGAACGCTTGCATATAAATGGCATCAATAATGCTACGAAATGTTTGCGTTTTTCCCACATAGTTTTTTTGTATGCCGAGCAAAAAAGAAGTTGCAGAGGGAGTTTGTAGGGCCCGTCCTTTTAAGGGCATCGATCCATGTACCTCCAACTCTCTGAAATTGCGCGGCTTTTCCACTAGACCATTCCGCTGGTGGTATCCATCAATGTTACACAGTTATAGACGTAAAAACCACCACAAACTGGCTCCGTGACGTGGCGGTTTCTCGATCGACCTTGCGACCTTGGATACGCGTCTTCCACTGCACATGGTACATCGTCTTCCCATCTTTACTGTCATCGTCTTACCCGCCCTGAAAAATGAACTACTAATACACTCATTTACAGCTCAAGCATACGACCGGTGCTAGACGCCTCGCAATCGCGTATGTAAGCATCCTGAACGTCAGGACAAGCGTTGGCGTTGGCTCTTCTTATATTCAACACACAAATCGACGTCTTTGGTAGTCGCCGCTAGCTCAAGCAACGTGCCATGCGAATGTCGAGCCTGGAAGATCTCCGACGCCTTCTTCCTTGCGTTTTGCATCGATTGGACTACCATCGCGTTCTTGAGCGTCGCGTTCGGCTCGTCCATGAGAAGATGCGCAGCGTACTGGCAAGTATACGGTGGCGCAGGGCAGCTTGGCTATCCCATGCATCGTACCAGCGCGCCGTGTCCGTCGACTGGCGCTACAACGGCAAAGGTTCGCGACAGCCATGCTCGTGCTTGATGTCAGCAGGAGACGCTGCCGACACTCGAGCGCTACGAATCAATACGGCTTAGATCGCACTTTCCGAGCCGCATTGATCTGCCTCGACAGCAACAGCAGCCAAAGAGATGAACTTGGCGGCGGCTGGTACGTCTCGGGCAAGTTCTCGGTGTATATGGCCATTCACCGCTTTCGAATCAGCGCCGCCGACGGCTCGTTCTTGGGCCGACCGTGTTGGTGGAGGCGTCGCACCTTGCTGAACACGAGCGAGCGCCTCGTTCTGGGGCGTAGTGTCGTTGGTGCAACCACGGCCGATCAATCAGCAGCCAACGTTTCGAGCGTTGGGTGACGGGTGATCACGCTCGCGTCCTCGCCCTCGCCCTCGGGCCTCGTTGTGCAAAAAAGCTTGTCGTCGAGGTGCGCGACGTACGGCTGCTTCGTCAGCACCTCTGCAGGCCCACGGCCATCGGTCTTAAGAGCGTGGGCGCCGGCCTTGGAACATGCTTCGACAGAACCAATGACCGAGGGACCTTTGCGCCGTGGACATGCGCTGCAAATACCGGATCATCTCGGCGCTGGGCGAAGCGAGTCTACACTGTGTCTCCACCGCCACGTGCAGACACTTTCGTTCTTGATGCTACTGAAGCAAAATGTCAAGTACTACTCCTTTTACGAGGCATTTGGAACCCAGCCGCAGCATGGACGAGGCGATCTTATCGTGAGTCGTAAATCGTTGGAGACAAAAAACAACGGACGCGCAATGGTGTGCAAAACTTGCATCAGCGCCTCGGACATGCTCTGCAGCATTGCACACGGCAAACATACGCCAGCACTCCTCAACATGAGGGCCATTCGAGCGGGTTACAGAAATACACACGCGTCAACAAAAAGGAATTGCGTTCGATCGTCCACTCTCTAGAAATCTGAGAAGAGGCAGCGACGTCGATGGCGGAGTCATTCGCCCCACTTGCAACAGTATAACACACGTGCAACAACCGGTATAGCCATTAAGCGCACAACAGATGCAACCCAACGATGGCAACGATGGCTATCACTTGATTCGGTTTGCAAAGAGTGGACCCAACTGGCGACGGACCCCAGATTACATCAAACATTCGGAGCTTTTGGGATCTCTCCTTCTCCAGAGGTACCTACTTCGACTTGCACATCTAGCATATTGGGTCGGCGTCTTTTGGGTTGTATCAACCGTGATGCACGCTACGAGAAATAAGGTTGCCGACTGCGATCACTGAACTGCTCGGTGCGTGTATGTGGACCCCCTGTTTTCTATCGCGTTGCTGGTTCGTCTGGTTCTGGCCACTAGTCCTCGTGTGACAGTCGGCAAAGTGGGATGATCCGCGACGGTAGTAGAAAGGCGGGACACCATGTGGCACTTGCGGGTAGGGGTAATGGCACAAGATTCTTTCTTTCGCGCTCGACGCAGCGATGGATGCAAGGTGCCGTGATAGGAAAACCCAAGTCGACCCTTCTAGATAGGGATGTGCCAGACGTTTACTGATACTTGGCGCTTTGGTGACGCCAACAAACCTTGTGACCATCCGGGATCTCTTCGCCAATTCCTACGTAGTGGGACGATGCCCAAGAAGGGTTTTCGTATCTTTTCGTGCATCTCGTAAAAGCAGAGCCAAAAGGTGGCCAAAAGGTACATACGTTCGTCTTGGACGAGAAAGCAATCTGCTTGCTGATTTTCTTTAGTTTGGTGTTGTGCGTCTCGCAATGTGGTGGAGGCGATTTGAAATCGGACGTGGCTGTGCGAAAGACCATGCGATCCATGTCTCTGCTACAATTGCCTTTTCTGTTGCGGCGGCTCGCTGCCATTGCGTAAAATATATTGTGTTTTGTATCACGACAAAACACCAACCCATTCGATTTCTGCATACAAAAACCAAGTCAAATATATGCTCTTTTGCTGCCAACACTGTGTCCCGTGGATCCATTCTTCTGGGCGCGCCCCGCGTTTCGAATGCCTACGCTTCGCTACGGGATGCGCCGATTGGCAATCGTTGGGGCCACGTTTGCCAGCTGGTTCAGTCGTAGCCGCACTTGGTGGAATCATCACGGATGGATCTGAGGCAGCAGGAATTTCGTCCGCAGCTCCTGGTTGACGACGACAAAGAGTGTCACTCTCGAATTCGACGCCTTCTGCGCACATCGACGAACACACTGTCGTCCATGCTCACGGTCTGCTACTTCAAGGACTGCCATCAACCGGTCCAACCTGGCTCGTGGAAGTGCATTTACCACCGCCGCCGGACTCGTTGCCTCGTTGAAGAGTGCACGAACCAGGTCTACGCGCGCAACCTCTGCGTGCGCCATGGCGGCCAAAAGTCGTGCTGCGTTCAGGGCTGCTGCCGCAACGCTCGTCAAGCCGGCTTTTGCTACCGACACAGCGGCGACGACAGCCGGAGGCGGTGCTCCTTTGCTGGATGCGTACGCAAGGCGATCCTCGGCGGCAAGTGCATCAGCCATGGCGGCGCCAAAATGTGCACGATCGAAGGCTGCTCGTCGCACGTACGCAAGAAGGGTCTCTGCTGCCGCCACTACCGACTCTGGGCTGCCGACGAAGAGAAGAACAAAGCCAACGCGCCTGCTTCGGGCCTCGTGAAGGCCAACCCGACGGCAATGATGCAGACGCAAGCCGCGTCTACCGTTGTCTCAAGCGATGACGACGACAACAGCTCCGACGACGGCGAGATGCTGGACCTCATCGACGCCAACTTTATCGACCAAGTGTTTTACGACGTCGTCAAGGACGAAGTGCGCGCGTGGCCTGGCGCGCCGCCTCAATGTTAACAAGGCACCCCATAGACACTAGAATTAGATAGAATAGACTTTATGAAGACACCCTATGCAATACAGACTCGTACGCTACACTCCCAAATCCCCCAGCTATCGCGCCGCTGCCAGCCTTGTACATGCAACTCGTCATCCTTTGCTGGAAGGGGCGAAGGCTGATCGGAGCATCGGCCCCTCTGCAGAAACAACCCAAAAGAAATGTGACAGTCAATGTGGTAATGGGTCCCATATCCACGGCCTGTCGCAGGCGTCGTCTCATCCAAAAAGGCGCGAATCAGGGCAAGCTCTGGAGCGCGGGCCAAATGGATTGAGGAGGCAGCTGCATCCTCAGAGCTCGCGTCGTGGGACTGCGACCTACTCGGCGGCCATGTGGCCGCGACGTCTGGGGTCAGGAAGCGAGCTCAGACTTGAAGTCGACGCCTTCTTTTGACCTTGGCACCCATACGCCTCTGGCACGGGATGTGGCTCCGCACAGACGTTGCCGTTGCACTTCTTGCGCAGATGTACACAGCGGCGCGGCTGTGTTTACTATAGCTTTCGGTACCACGTGTGTGGCCACCACGCGCTCAGCGCAGTGGGATTTGAGTTTCTGAGAAGAAACCAGAAGCAGCGATGGACGGCCGGCGCAGTACGTGGCGTCTTTTTAGCTTTGTCCCCGAACGCAAACATCCAGCGCACTCACCATGATTGCGTCCGAGGGGCGATTAACGGTCGTATGCAGGTCGTTTCGTGTCCCAAGGATGACGACGAGATGTCTTGAGTCCGCAGGACGCGACGTTCCGCAGTCGCAATAGCACTTGCCCTGGTGAAGGCTCATATTACAGTCGTAGATCTCATTTCGAAGAGTTTGCGCTGTTTACGATGACCTTGTTCGTTCGAAAGCGACCTTCCGTAATGGCTGCCACCGTACCTATATCCTGCGCGCGTGCGCAATGGAAGCGCACCGCGCTGGGACACTAAAGAGACCTCTTCCTATTCACATGTGTGTGAGCGATAGCTGTGAGCGGTGTTTACAGCGCCGACGCCCCGATGCTGCCAAGTCGAATACAACAATCGTCCCATTTTACAGATTTTACAGGCAGTCCATCTCGCCGATTCTAGTGTCGCACCACCACTCACGGCAAGCAGCTCACTCCGCGACCACACACGCGGGTGCTCTCGCGGACGCACGCATAATGAAATGGGGGCAACGTCGAGGGCAATAATGGAAAAGGTTACCGGCACTGCACCTGCGCCTGTCGATGTCCTGACTCAGATTATCGTTGACGCCTCTTCGCAGCCAATCAGATTGAAGTGCTTCGATCTTGGGTTGGTAGGCGTTGTTTTGCCACGTACATGTACACTGGAGGCGAGCCACGACTGCTGTACCGGTAACGACGCCACGCTCCGCTTCATTGTGAGCAGCTCGAGTTTGTGCGAGGGCTACCGCGAAGAGCCGTTCTGACATTGTGTGCAACGTAGAGATTTCTGAAGGTTCAGTTGTGGACGTTAACGATCCCCGCATGGACGTCACAGCGATGATCACATGCAACAATCCTTCACCTGGCCAAGGCTAACGTCACATGAGAGAAGTAGCTTTTCATGTGCTCGAGCAGTGCTCGGTCTACGACACACTGCAACGTTGGGCGTCGGTGTCACGGAACGTCAAGCCGCGTTATGAAAAAACGCCAATAAAGGTTTCACCAATTGATGAGACCGATGACTGCTGAGTACTGCAGAAGACAAAGCTATGCTGTTGTTGAACTGAGGTATCAGTACGACGGGGGACGTCCGAATGCGCTCGTGAGGCAGGTCAAGCGAGGAGCGTTAGTGGTCTCGTTGCGGGAGTGCGTGAGGAACGAGGTACACCCGCGCACGCCAAGGGTCGTCACCGAGAGCGCGAAGTGACGCGACGAGTGATGACACCATGGAGCCAAGTGCCAGACGTGCAGGCATGTTGCGACTGAGCAGCAGTCATATATAGTATCCTCCTCTCAAGCGCAACGCTGTCTCGCTGGTGAAGGGAGTCGTTTTGATATGACTTGTACTGAACTGAGCACGGTGATGATGACCTTTCGGTTGACACAAGCAAGTGTTGGAGGAGCAACTTGGTCAAGAACGCAGCGCGAAAAGCAGCCCCATCGGGGTCAAACACTCTGTCGCAGACAATGTTATCGATGCCCGTGCTAGCGGTACAACTGCGTTCCGACCCTAACCGAGTACTAGTATTTCGGTCAACTGCATGGGGAACCGCGTCAGCTCGTTCTCGAACAGCATATTCTCGTACCCAAGCGAGCCGCTAACACGCACAATAACGCCTTCCTCTACCAAACGATACCCAGCACGCATCTGCCCCACCAAGGGCAGTCAGTCGAGTTGAGACCAGGCACAGCCATGGGCGAAACGAGCTAAAAGGCGGCCGGTACACAACAGCCGAGGTACCACTACGCGTCAAAACGAGGGAGCGATCGATGTAGTCTTGTACCCATCTCTCGGGGGCCTTGCGTGGAGTGTAGCATCTTTCGGGAACCTTACGTGGAATCTAGCTGTCAAGACGACACTGGTTTTAGAATGCTACTTAGTTATATTGCTGGATAATGTCGACAAACTCGGGCTTGAGCGAGGCGCCGCCGACGAGGAAGCCGTCGACGTCGTGGAGCGCAATGAGCTCGTTGCAGTTCTTGGCGCTCACCGAGCCGCCGTAGATGATGCGCAAGTTGGCAGCAACCTCGGCCGAGATCGTCGAGGCGACCCACGAGCGGAGGTTCTTGTGCGCGTCCTGCGCCTGTTCAGGGGTCGCGACGACGCCCGTGCCGATGGCCCACACGGGCTCGTACGCGACGACGATGCGCGACCAGAGGTCTTCCGTCAAGAGGTCGGCGACGGCCTTGAGCTGGCGCGTCAAGACGTTGAGCGTCTGGTCGGCCTTGCGCTCCTCAAGCGTCTCGCCAATGCACACAATAACGTCGAGGCCCTGGTCCAAGGCACGCTTGGTCTTCTGGGCGACGATCGTGTCCGTCTCGCCGTAGAGCGAGCGGCGCTCCGAGTGGCCGACAAGCGTCCATTGCAGGCCCAAGTCCTTGAGCTGCTCGGCGGCGATCTCGCCCGTGAAGGCGCCGGGGCCGGTCAAGCTCACGTTCTGCGAGCAGACGCGGATCTCGGGCTTGAGCTGGGCCTGGGCCGTCGCGACGAAGAGCGCAGGCGGCGACACAATCACCTCGACCGACTCCGTGTCGATCGTGACGCCGTTGAGCATCTCAATCAACGAGGCCACCGTGCTCTGCGAGCCGTTCTACATAGACACATCGCATGAGCCTCCATATCGCAGGCAGGATGATGGTACGTACGCACTTCCAGTTGCCGCCGATCACGTACTTGCGGGCCATCTTGTTGCTTCTTGCAGTCACTTGGGAAAAATGAAAATGACCAAAACCGAGCCGCCGAAAATGATTGACGCGGGCGCATCGACACGCACCGTCAGGGAATCAACCAATCATCGCATTGGATACGCTGTACATGCGTACGATTGGCAGATGAAGGTCGGTTTGGGTCTCCTTTTTGGCAAATCAGATGCGCGACTGGGGCAGAGGCGAAGGCCATTGGGCGAAACTCGAACAAGCCCGTTGCGATGACAAAGAAGTCGCGTCAGTCGCAAGCGACTCTTGGGTGACATTGTAAAGGCACGGAAGAGGAGGAGGAATTGACTTGTGCTGTCGTCGCCATCACGCAGCATAGACGCGAAGACCACATCGCATCGCTGTCATGCATCGTTTGCTGGACGCTCCTAGTAGCCCCATCGACGCGATGTATATGCTAGCAGACGATTTGCGGCGGTGGTCCAGGCAGTGCATGCATTTACCAGGCGAACGCATTCTTTCGGGAGCAGGTTGGCGTCAGGCTCAACCATGTACAGTACTACACCCTCACGGCAGTCTCTCTCGACTTAGATACTCTGCACTGATTTTTAGCTGGGCTGCGGTGAAGCAGCTCGATAGGCGCGATGCAGCGCTTGCTTGTCGTTGGGGTGTCGGGCATTTTCAGCCGTACGCTGCATGGCCGCGTGTGCGAGACACAGCGTGGTCGAATCTTGGTCACCTGGATTCCGATGAATTCAGTGGCAAAAAAAATCCTGGGGACATCCCTCGCGACACGTGGCGCCATGGTCGTGCAGCGCGCCAGCTGCGGCACCCAATCAATCGCCTCTTGGGTGCATTCCGCTGCACTTTTTGTTCATACGCAAGCAAGACACGACCGTCCTCGGCACACAAAATGCGCGTTCTTCGTTAGTGCAGTCTCATGGCCGCGCGCGTGGTCGGCTCCGCTTCTTCGATCATCGATTTCGAAACGGAGCGTCATGCTGCGGCGGCCACCTACGGCCAAAGCTGTCCCTTGGCCATAGCACGATCATCACATGGAATACGATCTACTCGCGTGTGCCGGCGGGCGTTCACCGCCCGGCCCTTCCCCGAGGCACCTCGGAGAAGGGCTTAACCTCAGCAGCCCGCGGCGGACGCGTCCAGCCCGCTCTCCTTGGTGATCTCGAGCGTCGTAAAGATCTCGGCCGTCGTCGGGTGGATGCCGACCGTGCTCACAAAGTCGTCGTAGCTCGCGTTGAGCTTCATCGCAATGCCAACAGCCTGGGTCACCTCGCCGGCGTTCGGGCCCAGGTAGTGGAAGCCGACGACGCGGTCGTTTTGCGTGCGGTCGACGATGAGCTTGCAGTAGCACTCCTTCGCAAGCGCGCGGTCGTGCGAGAGCGACCACTCGAGCGGCGTAAAGCTCTGGTGGTACACGCCGAGGTTGTCGGCGCCAATCGTCTCGATCGCCGCGTCTTCCGAGAGGCCGCAGCAGCCGTACTCGATGGGCGTAAACACGGCCGTGCAAACCTTGTCGTACGCCATGAGCGTCGCGCTGTTGTCAAAGAGGCGCTTGGCGAGGAGGCGCCCGGCTTGGATCGCCACCGGCGTGAGCTCCGGCCCGTCGATGACGTCACCGACCGCGTAAATGTGCGGCGCCGACGTCTGCTCGTGCGTCACGGCGATGCGGCCCGTCTTGGGGTTGAGACCGACGCCTGCCGCGGGCAAGTTGAGGCCCGAGACGTCCGGGTTGCGCCCCGTCGCGTTGAGCACCGTGTCGTAGATGCCTTCGCCGAACGTGTGCGTCACCTTGAGCTGGCCGTTCGCGAGCTGCTCGATCGAGGTTGGCACCGCGCCCTTGATGAAGTCAATCTTGGCTTCCTCTTCCATGTACGTGCCAATGCGGGCCGCCATGTCCGTGTCAAAGCCGCGGAGGAGGATCGAGCGCACCATGACGGTCACGTCAAAGCCCTGGGCCTTGAGGAAGCCCGCGCACTCGAGCGCGACGTACGAAGCGCCGACAACGAGCGTCTTGCCCGGCGGCGTCGGGCGCGAGAAGATGTCATCGGACGAGATCGCGAGGTCGGCGCCGGGGCAGTCGAGCGACTTGGGGCGGCCACCCACCGCGATGAGCGCACGGCGGAACGTCACGTCTTTCGGCGGCTTGCCCTTCGCCGGGTTCGTCAGCGTCAGCGTGTGCGCATCCTTGAACGTGCCGAGAAAGTTCTCGTACTTGACCTTCTTGTCGCGAAGGTCGACACGGTACTTGAAGTTCAGGCCGTGGATGTAGTCTTGGACCGACGTCACGAGCTTGGTCCAATCGAAGGTCGCGTTTGGCACCGCCCAGCCAAAGGCTTCGGCGTCCTTGTGCAGGAGCTCGCCCATGATCGCGCTCTGGTGCATGAGCTTCTTCGGGATGCAGCCAACGTTCACGCACGTGCCGCCGAGGCCCCACGTCGAGCCTTGCGGTGACGGCTTGACGTAGTCGAGGACGAGCACCTTCTGGCCATACTTGGCCGCCTCCTTGGACGCGGCGAGACCGCCTGAACCGCCGCCAATGACGACAAGGTCCCAGTCGTACGTTGCGCCGTCGTCGACGTCGTTGGCGTGCACGTTGCGGGCCGGTGCTGACGGCGCCGCCGCACTCTGCGTGCGCGACCGGAAGAACGCGAGAGTGTCGTCGCAGCCGCCGACAAACTTGGTGCCGGCGCCGTCCTCGAGATAGCAGAACGGCGACGTGTAGTGGTTCGTAGCGCGCGCGTCGCCCACAAACTGCGTCGCAAACGTCGCTTGCGAGGCCTCAAGCCAGTCGTTGAACGACTGCTTGGTCGCATGCTCATGGATCGTGGCCTTAACCTGGCCCGGGAACAGCGTCTGCATCGACGACGCGACGTTGGCCGCCCGCTCGTAGTACGGGCCTACGATGCATGCATGACCACCAAATACTAGGAGCAAGCAAGCGACGGCGACGTACAGCTCTTCCAGCCCACGACGTGGTAGTTGACCGAGGACATTGTGCTGCTGCTGCGCCAAGTCGACCGCTGCCCAACCCTCGAAATTCGAACTGAGCGGCTCCACATGCGGCTCAAACTTCGCTTTTGAGAAACCGCTGGGACCACGCACACTGACTCCACTTTGCGTCTCTTCTAACCGACAAATAACATCCGGATACCGGTCGCTTTTTCCGTGAGCCAGATCTCGAGCGATGCCAGTGTTTCGACAAGGAACTCCTACAAGCTAGCACTGGGTCATGCATTCTTAGAGCTCATATTGGCTAGTCCGCCCATCCAAGCATACCACAGGAACGACTGTGTAGGTTGATACTGTCGTATGCAGAGTCTACTACCGGGGCCCAAGGCCCTTGATGGCCCATATGTATGTGCATTACGCCACTCTCAGTCCATGTACCTGGTACCTATGACTATCGCACCAGTAGCTGTGTTTGGCTCATGTAAGTACATGGAGTGCTTGGTGTCCCTTGCGCAAGCTCTTGCCGTTTTTCGCTGCGATCAAGGAGGAAGACAACCTCTTCTTTTTCCTAACCGACAGTTGAAGCCCTGTTGAGTTTGAGTTTAGTGAGTGGCCTTTCCGAAGTGGCGCCGGTGATGAGTTAATATAGCTTGGGGACCGGCAACTACACTACTGGGGCCTGCGGGAAATTCGATATTTATCGAAACTCATAAAAATATGGCACTTTATAACGTTAACAAGCGCTTTGAAACAGAGTGGAACTAGATTGATGTGACAGAAGGCCAGGTCGAGCCAAAGCGGATGACACATTGTACTAGTAGGCTATTAAAGCGTCGAGGAAGTAAAAACGAGAAGCAAATGGAGTCCAACGGCACGTTGCCATCTCGAAGACTTCATCGCAACGCGCCACGATGGATAACCCTTAGGTCACGTGTCGCCAACATGGTAAATCGATGAATGAGCTTGTAGCAATCGGACCACGCAGGGCCAGACGCAGACCGATTATTATAATAAAAATACGTATGCAATACAAAATCTATGTGTCATTTTAAAGGAATAATAAAAAATGATATTACGGATAAAGCGTTACTACATCTTTCGAACGCTTTCGAAAGCATTCGAACGAGGTTTCGACACATCTTTCGAAAGGTTTCGAAACCTAAAACTTTAATCGACGAACTCTCGTCACTGCGAGCATTCGCGGCCAAGCCGACAGCGAAACTTGATAGTCATTGGCTTGGACTACCAAATTTCGTCGGACGTCACTCCGTGCCACATCTGGAAGACTTTCATTTTGGCCAATCAAAAAACGAAACTAATCACTTTTCGGCGAAATATCGTTTTTGTATGGTCAGTATCTTGATGACTATTCGGAGTTCAAGGCATCTGATTAGATCACTGGAAAGGTCTCGGCATGTAGAGCAAGGTTTCGTCGTCCAATCATCACTCAGGATTGTTTTGAGAGTGCTATCGGTGTTTGAAGTTTGACCTTTCGAAATATCGATCACAAGCATGCGTCGAAACTTGACGGTTTGCTTTCGAAACGTATCGATATTTGTATATCGATTTCCGGATACGAGGCTTGAAGGCAGATGGTGCCAGTGCTGCCGTCCGTACTCCTCTGGCGACATCCATAGGCCACACATTGCGCAAGATGATAGAGATAGTGCGCTTGTCACCCATTATGCTAAAAAACATGTGATTCGTGCTGAGAGCAGCTCCTAGCCCTTCATTATTCGTTTTGCTTGACGGTGCAGGACCGCCGGTGTGTATCTGATGCCATTAGCCACGAGTACTATAGTCAAGACATTCACACTTGTGGTTTTATCGCACTAAGACTGTATGCATTTAGGCCGGCCGTTGTCCAGCCAATTACTGATCGATGTTGACAGACATCCAATATAAATATAAAGCAAGCAATAATAAATTGGAAAATTAAAAAGATTGTTTTATCGATATTCCCGCAGCCCCCTGTACAGCACTTTGCCCGACGCCATGTGTTGGAATGGATGGACGAGGCCTCGCAGATGCCATGGACCGTCGATTCGCGAAGCTCTTCCGTGCTGGGCACATGTTTTCTTATTGCACACAGCCACGTACTCTAGAAATACTCGAACGTTGGCATAAATTCACTCACTATAATAGCCTGCACTACTTAAACACGTCTGGAAATACTGAAGCTTCATGCACTAACAAGCTACATAACGTGGATACGGGGAACGAGAACGCACCGAGGAGGGGCAAGCGAAGAATGAAAGTGACTACTATTGCTCGACGTTTTCGAGCCACGCTTCGAAGCAGAGGCCGACTTTCGTGGTATCGTTGGATCGATATATCGACAGAATGATTCATTTCAAGCGTTTGTGAGAATGTTTCCCTGATATTAGTCTAGGGTATCTCTCCCCCAAACACTTTCCGTCGAGGAGCCCTAACCCTGCAGGACATGAGGCGCGAGCTCGGGGTGAATGGGCAAGTCCGAGTCGAGGCTCTTCCGCGCTGCCATCTAAGCACAAACACACTATCAGTACAATCAGTCGATGCAGAACACGGTGTACCATGCCCATATGTGCGCTCTGCACAACATCGTGACCCTTGAGCATCCCATAGATCGTGCCGCCCACAAAGCTGTCGCCTACACACCATGCTGAGCTTGAAAGACAGACGCCAGAATGGTCAACGCACCGGCACCGGTACAGTTCCACACACTCTTGGGAGTCCCCGGGAGGTATACAATCGAGAGCGGTGGCGAGAGGCAGCTGCCGTAGTGGACACCACCCGGCGGCAGCTGGCGCACCGTGTCCGTCGTCGCAACGACGGCACCGTCCTTGCCCAACGTCACGAGCACGTGCACCGGCTTCTTCTTCTCCGAGTGCATGACCTTGGCAACTAATAGAGCATGTCATTTGCATCCCACGACGCCCGACGAAGCACCTGTGAGGAGGTCCGTGACGATGCCATCAACAAGCGGGATGTGGCGCTGGCCTTTTTGCACACTGAACGCAGCATCGACTGTCGTCCACTGCGAGAACCCTTCGTCGTCGACCAGCGCACGCGCCATGGCCGCGAGCTCGTCCGAGTTGGGCGAGATTGCGTGGACACGGGGGAGCGCGCCGGCGTGGACAACCCGGCGCGCCTTCTCGACCGACGTCGGCTCAAACCACAGCAGCGGCACGTTCGCCGCAGCGACCTTGGCCATCGTCGCTGTCGAGAGGTTGCCGTCAAAGACGACGGCCTTGGTCGACGGCGACGTCCACGTCGCTAGGTCCTAATCAGCCAAATGATATTCTCTTCGGGTCTTGTAGCGTAGCGTACGAGGCCATCCATGGCTTCGGCGATCGACATGTCTGCGATTGCAACCTCGAGGTTCCCAGCCCCGTTGAGCATCGCGCAGTACGTGGCCGTCGCGTGGGCGGGTGGCGTTGCAATGCCGGCGGTGCTCATGCCAATGGCCTGCAGCTGCTGGAGGAGACTCGCGCCCGCAGCGTCCTGGCCCACGTTCGAAACGAGGAGCGTGGCGACGTTGAGGCGGTGGAGACACTCGGCGATGTTGCGCCCGACGCCTAAGAAACACAATTGAGCAAAAAGAACGCTATTGAGTCTTTGAAGGCGTCTACTTACCCCCCACGTTTGCTTGGTGTGGCCAATGTTGGACGTGCCATGCACAAACTGGTCCGACGGACGCGAAATGATGTCGAGCACCGTACCGCCGACAACAACCACGTCCGAGTCGACTGCATGCGAGGACGACGGCGTCGCGCTCGCCTTGAGCGCCACGGCAATCTGCGCGAGACGCTCTTGAATCGTAGAAAGATGACAGTCGAGTACCTTGGCGCCAATCACGGCGTTGTGCTCAACGAGCGCAATATTGGACGTGAGCGACTCGCCCTTGGTGAGCTCTAGACATCGAAATGAGCTACTGTGCGCTTGTGTATCGTACCGTTGATGCGCTTGAGAAGGAAGGGCGTGACGGCGTTGCCCGTGATGTTGTTTTCCTTGGCCTGCGCGAGGCCCGACTCGATCGCGTGCGTAATGACGTCGGCGTCCGCGGGCGCCGGGTTGGGCACGGCAACTACAAACCCGTTCGGAAGGCGCAGGTTCTTGCTCGTCGCAATGAGTTTGGCGACGGATTCGGGCGTATCGAGACGGACGTGCGCCTTGGAGCCGCTTGTCGTCGTGAAAAAGGCCGGAAATTCGCTGGTGCCATAGCCCACGACTGGCACCGCCTAGGAACTTGATGTGCTCGCCATGCGTAAATAGCAGACGTCGTACGTTTGTCTCGAGAAATTCAAGGGTCTTGGGGATGTCGAGGATCGACTTGACACCGGCGCAAATGACAGCGACCGGCGTCCGGGACAGCTCCATCAAGTCGGTCGAGATGTCTATCATAGTGCGCGAACATCAGTACAGTACGAATGAGCATCGTCGCACCGAGGGTGTCTTCGCAGAAGCGGTGGACGCCGCCAATCCCGCCCGTCACAAACACGTCGATGCAGGCCGCATGTGCAATGCGCCTACGCAAAACAAGGCTGCTTGCGACGATCCAAGGAAGAAGATTCATACATGGTACTCGAGACGGTCGTCGCGCCCGTGCCGTTGGAGGCGACAACAGACGCAATGTCGCGCGTCGAGCACTTGGTGGCCTTGGCGCCGAGCGACGCCAGCGTGTGCAGCTGGCTCTTGGCGAGGCCGACGCAGATCTCGCCATTGAGGATCGCGATTGTCGCGGGACACGCGCCGTGCTCGCGCACGATGGCCTCGACCTTGGTTGCCATCTCAAAGTTCTGCGGGAACGGCATGCCATGACTAATGATCGTCGACTCGAGCGCGACGATGGGCTTGCCGTCACGGAGCGCAGCTTCAACTTCGGGGCTCATCTTGAGCTGGTGCATGGCGCGCGTGCTGTGGCGGGCGAGCGGCGCATGGAGGCGGCGCCGGGTCAGAGAGCGAAGCATTGGCGTCGGACGAGTGCTTTTCAAATGCGTCAAGATCACCGCACGACTCTTTTAGAGGGGCCCCCTACCCAAGTTCAAGGTCCGGGCGCCGCTGATTGGTCAACGCAGGCGCTCCAACCTTGCACTTATCTGGCGCACGCAAGCGCCGCTAGAGGAGTATGGTAAGTGCTGCCGTGAGCCGGCTGCCTCCTGGATGTAGCCATGCTTGGAACCAGGATGTCCCTTAGTTGACGTCGCAACGTCTACAGCTGCGAGTCTTTCCCTCGCCCCACACTCGCAGTGTCCACGCTTAAGCCATCTCGATGGTGTCGGCTTCATTGTCCACCTTACGTTACCGTCTGTTCCGGTCGTGCGTTGCCATGTAGCCACAGACTTTGTCTAACACGTACTTTGTTGCATCAATCTACAAGGCCTGAAAGTCGGTCGAGAACTGGCCGATCTTTTGCGCGACGGCGTAGTGGAGGCCAGACGTCTTGCTCGTGACGGCGGCGTGGACAGCCTGGGCCTCGATGGTGTCCGATGGCTTCTTGTCGTAAGAGCACTGGATCTCGTAGTCGCCGTCGTTGCCAATGTCGTGGCACTTGAGCTTCCCCTTGGCGTTCAGCCCGACCGCCTCCCACTCGAGCGTAAACTCAAAGTCAAAGAGAAACCTAAACGCTTTGAGCACGCGGAAGTAGACCATTAAAAGTCGTACCGCTTCTTGCCGCGGATGACGCACACGGAGGCGTCGCCCTTGAGGTCCTTCACGGGCTTGGTTCGGATCGTCGTGCTCGAGTGCAGGACTTCGACGCTCGCGAGGAGCTCTTCGAGGCGACCCTATATAGCGAGTTGGACACGGAAGCGGAGTGCAGACGCAATTGTACCTTGGCCCACTTGGTAAAGTCGCGCTGCTCAAAGGTGCCGGCCGTGTTCCACGCCGACCCATCGTGCGCCGGTGCCACCACTTCGACCTCTTCAATCTTCTTTGGCGCAATGTCGCCAATGAGCGCCTTCTCGTGCTCTGACTGCTCGCGATGGAAGTACGGAAGCCCGTTCTTGTAGCCCTTGGCGTTTTCGATTGATTCGTCTTCGACAACAACTTCGGTCTTGGCCGGCTTGGCCTTGGCCGCGGATGTCGTCGTTGTCACCGCCTTGGTCGTCGATGTGGCAGCAGTGGTCGTCGACGATGCCGCCGTAGGCTTGGACGGAGTCGGCTTCTTGGGCTCCTCGGGTTTTTTGCAAATGCGCTTGTGGTAGGACCAGTCGCTGGTTTGGCACGCGCGGTGGCAGTACGTGGCCTTCTTGCAGACAGAGCACTTGAGCTTGGCACCTGTCGTGCCGCAGTTGCGGCAGTCTGCGCCCGGCGCCTCGTCGGCGTCCGAGATCTTGTCGAAGCGCGAGTAGTCGTTGGCGTCTGTCTTCTTCGTGGCCATTGCGTTGAGGTTGTGATGGCCAATATCATCCGCGCCCTCGCTCCCTCGGTTTAACGACACGTTGTACAGAGCATGTTATAACACACAAATCCAGAAGTCATAACATGTCACGTGTGGGTGGATGATCGCTGTAGACCTCGTCGCGGCAAATAGTCGTGGGCCGTGCTTAGAATCTACCAAGCTACAACATACATACAATGCACGTATTCGTACATTGTACACCTCCTGCCCTCCTGGTAGACTGCTTCAAAACGATCCTTGCTAGAGTTACAGTAGACTGTTATAACACAGGTCTGCATTGTTTCCGGATGACGTGGCACGCCATCCGGTGCGTAGAAAATTCGAGATTGCACCACGGGATCGTTCCCATTTTGACGCTGCCGATCGCATGCACGCCTCGCATACCGGTACGTCTAACAAAGATGCAGCTGTATTACTACTAGACCAACTAGACGTGGGCCGTCCCGTAGCTGCCTTCTTCGTGCAGTAGCTGCGAGCCTTCGTGGACGCTCTGGCGGCGCGGCTTGAGGTTGAGCGTGCCGCTACCGTAGCGCATCCAGTAGAGCGTGATGGCGCCGAGGACGACGGCAAGGCCGGGCACGAGGCAGTAGATCTGGCGCACAAAGTACGCGTCCGCGAGCGCATCGTTCGTGAGCGCCTGGCGCGCGTTCTGGATAAGAAGCACGGCAATGCCGTTGGAGATCTTGTCGGTGAAGCTCATCGCGCCGTACACGAACGCGCCCGACTCATTCTGGTCGCCGACGAGGTCGCCCTCGAGACAGACGCTCGTGACCATGACGACGCTTTGGCCAAAGCCGAGCATTGTCGAGAGCGGGTAGATCCAATGCGACGTCTCGACCGTGAGGTACCAGCACGCAACGAGCGAGAGGACCATGAGACCGGTGCCAAAGGCGAACGTGCCTTCGCGGCCCATGCGGTCGTTCATGTAGCGCATGCCAAACGTCGCAACAAAGCCCGAGAGGTAGACGAGCAGCGGTACGATCGCCATGGACGCAGCGTTCATGTGCAGCGAGATCGTGAGGAAGAACGGAATGTAGACTTGGGTCACGTTGACGCTGAGGCGCGTGCACATGTAGACCATGCCGACTTCGTAGAACATGCACACTTTAAACCAGCACTTCCACGTCATGGCGGTGCGGTCGCAAACACGGGTGTCATCGGCGTGAGGTCGGCCTCAAACGGCATATCGGCCGGGCCGCGATGGCCGTGGTCCAGCACCGCGGGGCTGTTGCGGCGCGCACGCAGCGATTGGATCTCGGCGACAGTGGTCGGGCCGCACTTTTCTTCCGTGCCAATGAGAAAGTAGAATGTGCAGAGACCGCCAACGACCATCGTGAAGATCGTCAGCAGCGTAAACTTGAGCTGGTCGGGCACGTTGTACGGCGAGACGTCGTGCAAGAGGAAGAAGAACGCGATGAAGACCATGACGTTGGAGAGGATCGTGAACGCATACCGGACGCTGTTGAGGATGACGCGGATATTGTCATTGGAAGAGAGCTCGGGCACCATGGCCATGTGCGACACTTGGACAGCCGCCCACCCGACGTTGAAGAGACTCGCAGCCGTGCAATAGTAGAGCACGAGCACCGTCGACGACGGTGCGTCGGTAAACCAGCGTGGCAGACATGCGCCAAAGACAAAGAAGAAGCAAAGCATGACGAGCACGCAGCCGCCAGCGTTCCACGTCTTGCGGCGGCCAAAGCCAATGGAAGGAAACCCCGTCGAGCGGTCCGAGAGCACGCCGACGAGTGGCGTCGCAATGCCGTCTGCGATTTGGCCCGAGAACATCACGATCGCGCCATCGACGGGGCTGAGTTTCGCCACGTCGTTGAGGAAGACGAGGAGGTAGCTAAACCACGAGGACGCGCACATGTCGTTGAGGACGTTGCCAACGCCATAGGACAAGATCTTGGCGGTCGTCCACTGCTTGGAGGACTTGCTGGCCATGCTGCTCAATGCTCGGTGGAGGCCAAATCAAAAAGTCCATCGCGACGCTGCATGAAAGGCCGTATCCGGATAAACCAGTATTTATATCCAAAACGGGTCACGCGACCTGCTACATTGTTCCAGTGACATTAAAAACCGCTCCATCGGGTGGCATGCTGGCCGTGCGTATCCGGAAACCTCTCTCTTTGAATAATTGCACTTTCCTGTGACCGACGGCGGTGCGGGCGCGTGACATGCGTTTTCAGAGTCGACACTGTCGCCTTCAACGAGGCACGGCGCTGGCATTAGATACTTGGAGGCCGGAGCGTATATTCCGCGGGAGAAAGGGATGGCTACTAGCTTCAACGAGCATCTCGGCCACGACAAAAGCGATCTCGGGTCGCTTTGACAAAGAGCCGATACCGGTGCGTAAACAGAAAGTAGGATGCGCAATCGGCCTCGCATTATTGGTCGCGACGCCGTGGCTTTGCACTGCGCCACGTGAGGACGTGGGTGCGACGCTACGTACGGATTCCCTTGTTACGTCCATTCATGACCGAGCAAGTGATCGCGGACGGTTATCAATGCAAGTAATTGGCGGTGTTACTTCAAGTGCTACTGGATAGTGCAATTATTATCCGACGGTGGGCCGAGACCCATTCCGGAGCCGCTCCAGCCATTGGATTACAACCGCACCCGTTGATGATCTACTTGGCATGGATCACAATTGGATCACGCAAAATGAACGCGATGTTGCGCCGCGATGCTTCTTAAACGATTATTGTTCCCACGAGAGCTGCCACGAGAGAGACGTCTTTGTCGACCACAGGATTCCGAGCGGCACTGCTGGTCCAGCGACCGAATATACAATCTTCTGAACATAAGGACAGGTGCTGGTTGGTGCTCGCAAGGGTATATCCTTGGTGCTCGCAAGTGATTTACTCTTGAACGATTTATCTTGTGGTGCTGTACACGTCACCAGTGGTTGATAGATATGTGCTTCACCGAGGAAATGCTACTGTTCTTGAAAGGAACCGGGAGCTGCTTCAGCTTGCGCCAGCACACACTGCAAATTGCGGTGTGCATACACTGCACAAATGCCTATATACATTTGCTTGCTCAAGTTTAAAGAAAGCTATGCAACTGAGCGAGTGGACGCAGATTTCGTTTTCGAAACTTTAGATAATCCGTACGGTATGTTCAGTGGAGAAACCACCACCGCTCCGGCATGGAGTGCGCGCAAGTTTAGCGCTGGTTCACACCGAATCCAGATGATTGACATCGGGGTCGCAGCCTGATGAGGTGGTTTCACGAGGACCTTTGATTTCCCGATTTGGCGCCAACGGCCGTGCTCGACGACGAACCTATTTATAGAAGCCGAGGCGCTGCCACGCAATCCTGTTGTTGAAGAACTGAGTTATATTACATGCAATTATAGAGATATGGTGGACTTCCTAATGCGCTCGTGAGGATTGGCCGGTGCGTCATCGAGGAGCGTTAGTGGTCTTGATTCGAGATTGTGCGAGGGACCAGGTAGCGTGCACACCAAGGGTCGTCGCGGAAAGCGGCCACAGACGCGTCAAGAGATGGCACCACAGCGCGAAGAGCCAATTGCCGGACGTGCAGTCTTGCGATAGTAGCTGCCCGGATCGCTAGCGCGGCAGCGGGAAGTTGCGTCAGCTTCGAGCGGAAGACACGATTGTTGCGTTCGAGCCAAATACATTACCAGACGCAAGCACGTAAGATCGGCCAGAGGGCACGAACAGACGACTTATGGACCGAGTACGGCATGGCGATATCGTCGTAGAGAAATCCTGTCCCTCCCAATCTTATTCAGCATCGCTAGCCAGACATCTCCACCGCGTCCGTTGGTAGTACCGCAACGACGATAAAAATGGCCTTGATCATGAGCCTTGATGCTATGCCAGTGATTCTTCTATCTCTAATTCGGAGCCGTAGCCTCGAAGCGTTTGGACTCAACATCAAGCTCGCCATCCAAGTCTCTCGACCACATCGTTAATATGTCTTTGGCCCACAAGCAGGCGGACTTCGATACCTCAGACGGAAGTGGAATCGAGGTTACACGGCGCGTTCCCATACTAGTACACTGGTGCTCCGTGACGCGATGCCTCTCAAGAGTCTTCAAATCGTAGGAATGTAATACAGGGAACAAGCGCGATAAGGTGGATCAGCTTATTCAAGTGAAAAATAGGTTGACTTTTGATAAATAGACGTTCGCTGACGGACACTGGTTAGCTCGACGACGTGCTCACACCGCTCTGGATCGAGCCGCGGTTGGAGATGCTCGAGCCAGACAAGTTGACGCCCCGAACACTGTCGTCACTGTCGTCGTTGATGATGTCCTTCTTTGTACTCTTGTCGGAGGCACTCGCACGCGCGCGGTCGATTTTGGCTTGGACCAGAGGGGCGTTGCTCATGTACTGGCGGTAAGGATGGAATGTGTTCATGATGATGTAGTGTGCTTGGCCGAGCCAATTGGTAAATGAACCAGAAAAGCGGCTACACCTGAAGCGACGGCTGACCCAGTCCCACATATCCATATCTATTCCCCCGCGGACGAGCTTATTCGTGGCAGTAATCGCTGTCAACTTAACTTTACGACGCTAAAATATTTCACACTGTGTGCAGGCGACACGAAATTCAGTGGCCGTGTGACTGAGACCGTGTCTGGTCGTGGCCATCACCAATCTCGCATCGTCTGGTACGTTCTTTATTTTGGTGTCCTCGCGTCCACAAGTGACGGGACAGGTATGCGTCACCCATTGAAATAATTTAAATCGCACGAAGCACAACGCACTCTGCGTTCCGTTGCATGGGTTGCAGCAATCACTGCAACTGCGAGCTCAGCAGGCAGCGACAATCACACATCCGAACCTCGGCTCTTTGCTTCGTGTACGGATTATACCCCAATCTCATCCGCCGCAATCGAGTCCATGGTCCCACATGTGATGTACTAGTAAATAATTTAAAATTGCACCGATGTACTAGTAGGTCCAAATCTTGCCATCGTGGTATTAAAAAGCAGTACCGGTATACTAGCTATGGAGAAATAGACTGCAATACCATTATGTCCGTCCTACCATGGCTGGGTCAAAGCGCCATGTCAACGGTGCTAGTACATTCGCCTGAAAAATATTTAAAAATGTAGCACGGATATTCCTCGTTGATCGGCAAATGGGACGCATTTACATGCAATAGGCACGTCGCTTGCGTGCGCCGCTCCGCGTTTTTACCTACAGTTGAGCAATCACGCGGATCTGACTCCACTCCACTGTCAGGGTCTCTGTCGCGTGTCATTTTCTTGCAGCATGCCACGTGGGGCAGGTGGATCGAATCAGCAGATTCCAGAGGCCGTTCCTCAAGAAGATCAACAACACCCGCATCAAAAGTCAACGATAGACACACATGTATCAGTATGGGCGTGCTAATATAAATAGAATTAGGTCCGAGCGAGGCATCAAAATCACTTGGACGCGGTGCTCGCGACGCTATCGCCAGAGACGCGGTTGGAAATACTCGAGCCCGAGAGGTTGGCGTCGCGCGGTCCGTCGTCGCCTGCGGCTTTCTTTCCGTCCTTCGAGTCTTCGGTCTTGCTGAGTGAGCGCGCAATGCGGGCATGCGCCATCGTCGCGTCACTCATGAAGCGGTGGTGTGGATGGAACGTGTTCATGGTCGTTCTGGGCCGCGAGTGGCAAATTCGAAAATGAAGAACCTTCTTTAAAGAAGACGAGCGATCCCACCTGTACCCGCAATCTCAGTTTCACGCGCGTACGTGCGATGGGAGTAATTGACGCCACATCGCTGCGCAAGAAAGCTCAGAGAAATTCACCTTCGTGTCCATTCTACACTCGTGGAGTAGTGGAAAGGCCGTCAACTCGCAGAGCTTCAAGTCCACCCACCATCATCTCTGTCTCGCAAGGTCAGGCCATCTGAGCCATACGAGCCACGGCGCACGTCAGCCTGTGAACGAGCCCCAAAAGGATGTGCTGAACCACTGGTGGTGGGCTTCCTACAACACACTGGTTGGAAGCACTCGAAGGAGAATCGAGGAAACCATCGCGAATTGCGAGTGTATATAGAGCGGCAGCTACTACAGTCGAGAGGAGCAACAAACAGGGATGTGCAACCGCGCTTCAACGCCGGATCATGCTGCTTTGAGTCGTGTACCGGTAGGACGGAACAAAGCGTGCATCAAGCAACGATGTGGCATGACGTGGCAAGCTTTTAAATATTGATAGTAAATATTGCGATAGGGTTCGACATATCATTTGGACGTGAAACTGTCGGTCGAGTCGCGGTTCGAGAGGCTGGAGGCCGAGTGATTGTTCACGCCACGGCCGAGATCGTCGTCGCAATCACCTTGGTCGCTACTAGCGCCGTCGCGGTTGGATGCGCGCTTCTCGCTGGTCTTGCTGCGACCGCGCTCAATCTTGGCTTGGTTGATGGCGGCGTCGCTCATAAAGCGGTGGTACGGGTGAAATGTGTTCATGCTGGCTAATTAAAAAGTGAGGTGCGTAATCCAAGGGCGTTTGTAGAGGGCGCACACATTTGCCGTTCGTTTCTTCAACCCGAAATTTCACATGCAATCTGCATCGATAGCTCGGGTCACCAGTCATGTCCAGCACCGTTTGACACGACGGACCAATCACAAGCTGGTATTACAATGCTGTGAGCCAGGATTGGCGCCACGTCGCACGTGCCTGACACAAACTGGTCACTTTCCAGAAGCAGCGCGCATAGGCTGGAAGGCCAGACACGCGGGAAATGTAATTTCCACAGCGAAAATTTTGGACGCGGCTTTGTCAAGCAGCGGAAGCCTTGGGCGGCGCCGAAGCCTGCATGATATAGGCTGCATACTATATATTGGAAGGGAGGTGTCGCTGGTCAGCTGCGCGCGCCGCCGGATGGATGTGGCATCCTATGTGAAGCCTCCTCGCACGCTCAGGTTGAAGTTGCTTGTCGAGTCTCAGAGCGTAAAAACCCGCGAGCGTGTGTTAGCGCTTATGAAACGCATCGAACTCGACGACCTTGGCGCGGGCAGCGACCAAGCTGGCTTCAATTGTGCCGAGCTGATCCCGAAAAGCCGAGTACACTTTGCCCGAGACATTGGCTTGTTGGAGCGCGACGAGCTCCGATGTCACGGCCTCGAGCTTTCTCTTCTCGACGACTTCGGCGTCCGCGACAGTCGCTGCGATCGTCGGGTCGTCGCGCGTCGGCAGGTGGAACCGGCGCTTGCACCCGGTG